GGCTCAGTGGTAGAGCGCTTGCCTTGCATGCCTGAGGCCCTGGGTTCGATTCCTCAGCACCACATAAGCAAAAAGAAAAAAAAAGCCGGAAGTGGCTCTGTGGCTCAAGTGGTAGTGTGCTAGCCTTGAGTTGAAGAGCTGAGGGACATTACCCAGGCCGAGTTCAGGCCCCACGACTGGACCCCTCCAAAAAATTATGGAGAGAAATTATCAAAGAAAAGAGAATTAGGGGGTACTTTGGATAGGAACATTGGCAGACTACTCCAACTTACTTAAAAAAAATCGAAACTGACAAATTTCTCAATTTAAAGAAACAAATAAAAATTGAAACCATTAAAATTTGTTAGATAATCAGTGAAAAGAATAAGTAATTATCATCATTGTGATGATGATATTGATGATGATGATCAGAATTTTTTCTAAGACTTCTATTTCTCATCGACAAATATTTAACAGAATGAAAACTCTGAGTCTACCTTCATTTTGAACTTAAACTATTTGTTTTATTTCAGAGCCATTGGATATATTCCTACTACATTAATATATCCGATTGTAACTTTCATTTTGCTCGCAATCTGCATTTCCTACTGGGCTGTGACAGCAATGTATCCTTTGATAATTGACTCTTGATGTTTCTACTCTTTATCATTACTTAGGAGCTATGAGTTTTGTTCAGTGTTTTCTATCATTAGGGAATGAGAAACATCTAAAAAAAACTGGCTTATTTTTTCAAGCCTTAAAATATCTCAGTCAATGATGTCATTTTCCGTGAAATAGATCATGTGGTCTATTTGTTATATTTTGTCTTTACATATAATACTTTGCAACAATCTAAGAAAACTCTCTTATATTTAATTGATTTTTAGGGGCCACTCAATGGGACTGACCCATATGACACTAGGTATGATAGGTAGATGAATTATTAAAATATTAGAAGAATTTTGAAATTAATTTTTCTATGGATTTCAGAATTATCTACATTTTTTTCCTTGTCTATTATTTGCAAGTTACCAGTGAATTGTTTATCCTTAATAGAATTCTCCCAGTTTCTTGGCAACTTCAGGTGTTCCTGTGTACAAAGTTGTAGTCCCAGAGGGGAAATGCGTACATGAAAATGAAACATGTGACCCAGAGGTAAGTAAGAGAAACTCTCCTTGATCTACTTTGATTTTTTTTTACTACATTTTACTACATTTCATTTCGTGGTTGTGACTGTCATTTGGAAATAAATGCTATATACTGAAGTGGGGATAATGTGTGGGTTAGCAATGAGCATTAAAAACAGGAAACAGAATGGAAAGAGAGCACAAAGATTTTTTAAACCATCATGTACCCAAGAAGTTTGTATGATTAACAAATGGAGTAATAAATATGAAATTTATTAGTGAGTGAGTAATGAGCATATATTTTAAAATGAGGTTCTTTCCAGAGCTCATTAAATATATATATATATATATATATTCAATAAAATAGCAAATAAAAGAGTAACCAAAAAAGCTAATGGAGAAAATAAGACATACAGAAATATAGTTGGGTACTACCAAAGAGACAAAGGAATGACATTTAGTATATTCTCTGTGTTTTTCTTTCTCTGAGTGTAGATGTTCAACACAACTGAAGTTATCAAAAGTTGCCCTGGGGCTCTGTGTAACTTTGCTTTCTACGGCGGAATGAGTCTGTACCATAAGTACATTCCTACCTTCCATATATACAATCTGTTTCTCTTTCTCTGGCTTATAAACTTCGTCATTTCATTGGGTCAATGTGCCCTTGCTGGTGCCTTTGCTACTTATTACTGGGCCATGAGAAAACCTGATGACATCCCACCACATCCACTTTTTACTGCATTTGGTCGAGCCATACGGTAAGCCCTATGTTGAACACTACAACCTTTTCTTCAGTTACATACAATTTATTATACATATTATATATATAAATATAACAGTATATATATATATATAACTGTTATATAATATATATATGTATATACACAGTGTACTTTTTCCATCTTGGCTAATTAATTCAAGTAACAAGATGCAAATAAGCTGAAAGCGTGATTCAAGATTTATGGATGTTCATTGGCTTGTTTGATTTCATAGATATTTCTCTCTCTTTCTTTCTCTCTCCCTTTGCCTCCCTCCCTCTCTCTGTCAGTTGTGGGGCTTGAACTCAAGGCCTGGGCACTGTCCCTGAGCTTCATTGTGCTCAAGGCTAGCACTCTTCCTCTTGAGCCACAGCACCACTTCTGATTTTTGAGAGGTTCATTGGAGATAAGAGTCTCATGGGGACTTTCTGCCTGTACTGTGATGCTCAGATCTCAGCCTCTTGAGTAGCTAGGATTACAGGGTGAGCCACTGATACCTGGATACTGTCTCTTACCTTGGCCAATATCCTTCTAAATTCCATAGGTTATTAGAGATGAGAAGGGGTGGAGGAAGGGGCACTAAAGGAAAGATTAAGAAATAACCTGGCTCTGTAGCTCTATTGCTCAGATTAAACATCCTATTTTATGAGAATACACTATTCATTGACAAAAGACATAACAGATGTCAATACAGACCTTTGAATGAGAGCGTAAAAGGCTCTTTTTCCAGCAGATCTCTTTTACATCTGAAAATTGTTCAAGTTAAAACCTGTTACTTAACAAATTATTTTAACTTTTATTCTCATTTTATCTTTGCCCAGGTATCATACAGGATCTCTAGCATATGGATCATTAATCCTTGCCGTAATTCAAACATTTAAAGCAACCCTAGAATACTTGGACCGTCGTATTAAAGGTAGAGTTCTACAACTGATGTGAGGCACTCTGATTTCCCCTAGGAGAATAGAATATGGCTGGAGTGTGGAGAGGCCTGGTAGCTGTAACTTGGCCTAGTAAAAATGGAAATAATCAAGTTTGAATATGTTTTTAAGGACAACCCTAGAGGACTTGCTGAAGATTTTGGATATCAGGAGAAAGGAGCAACAGTTGTGAAGAGAAAAAAAATCTGGAGATAGCTGAAGCAAATTTTAAAAAGACTAATGATTCTACTCAGAGTGTTACAGCTGAGAAGCATGGCAATGTCAGATAAGCGGAAATAAGTCTAGTGTTCAGGTCAGGCTAGGCTTACACTTTAACTCCAAGTGTCATTGGCCTAAGTCTTTGCATAGGACAAATACACTATATAAACAAACTAGCTCTGTTTATAGTGTACCTAAAATAGTCAAAACAATCTCGAGAAAGAAAAGGCAGAGTTTGGGTACTTATTTTAAAACTTAATGCCAAAGGCAGGTTCCAGTGGCTCATGGCCATAATCCTAGCTATTCAAAAGGCTGAGTTCTGAGGATTGTAGTTCAAAGCCAGTCTAGGGAGAGAAGTTTCATGAGACTCTCATCTCCAATTAACCACCATAAAACTGTGGCTCAAGTGGTAGAGGACTAGCTTTGAGGGAAAATGTTCAGGGACAGAGTCCAGGCCCTGAGTTCAAGCTCCAGAACAGCACCAAAACAAAACAAAGCCATCCTCTCCCCCCAAAACCCCAAAACACCAAACTAAACCAAAAACAAAAACCTCAATGCAAAGCTACAGCAAGAGGGTGGCATTGACATCAGGACAGATATATAGACCTGGAGTAAGCCTGATGCAGAAAGGCAAGTCTTTTCAGTTAATAGTGAGGGAAAATTGTAATATCCATATATAAAAGCATGAAGTTGGGCCTGTACCTTATATCAAAAGAAATTAACTTGGAAAGTACCAGACCTAAACAGAAGGGCTAATATACTATAAAACTTTTAGAACGGGGGCTGGGAAGGTGGCTCAGTGGTAGAGCGCTTGCCTTGCATGCATGAGGCCCTGGGTTCGATTCCTCAGCTCCACATAAGCAAAAAGAAAAAAGCCAGAAGTGGCACTGTAGCTCAAGTGGTAGAGCACTAGCCCTGAGCTGAAGAGCTGAGGGACAGCGCCCAGGCCCAGAGTTCAGGCCCCACTACCGGACCAAAAAAAAATAAAACTTTTAGAAGAAAACATAGGAAGAGGTCTTCATGATAGCAGATTTGATGGTAATTTCTTGGCTATCAAACCACAACATAAGAAAAAAAAATCAATGCTTGATACTGATGGTTCAAACCTGTAACCCTAGAAACTCAGGAGGCTGAGATCTGATGATTGCAGTTTGAAGCCAGCACAGACAGGAAAGTCCATGAGACTCTTATTTCCAATAAATTACCAAAATAGTCAGAAGTGGAACTGTGGCTCCACTAACTTTGAGCTAGAAGCTTAGGGACAGCCCAGGGCCTGAGCTCAAGCCCAACAACTGGCACAAAAAATGTGGAAAAAAATGAATGAAAAATGAGAATGAAGACTCATGCAATGGAAAAGAATATTCTGCAAAAAGCATGCCAAATGCCCTTATCAGAATAAATTTTGAAAACTTCTACAACTCAATAGCAAAAAAGTAGAACTAATCCACAAACAGGCAAATTTCAGTGGAAATCTGAGAGGTGATACAAGTAGACACAAAAAAAGGTGAAAAATGTTACTAGTCATTAGAAAAAATAAAATTAAAACCATAATGAGATACCACTTGACACCCATTAAAGTGGCTATGAAGAGAACAAACAAAGTTGTAAGTGTTGTCAAGGATATAAAGAAATTAGATCCTTTGAGTGTTGCTGGTAAGAATGTAAAATGGTCTAATCACTGTGGAAAACAGTATGGAAGTTCTTAAAAAGAGTAAAAAATTAGAATTTCAACTGACCCTGAAATTCCACTTCTAGATTTATATTCACATGAGTTGGGAACAGGATTGAAACAGATATTCATGGCAGCATTATTTTAAAATATATTTTACTGAAGTAGTTGTACAAAGAGTTGAATGAAGCAGTTCAATGAAGCAGTTTATAAATACAATGCATCGTTATCTTTATCTTTATTCTTAATATCCAAAAAGTGAAAACAACTCAAATCTACTAATTGGTGAATGGAAAAAACATATTATATACATACTATAAAATATTAATCTTTAAGAAGCACAAATGATAAGCCTTTAAAACATTATGCCAAGCAAAATAAGCAGATGTAAGAGCACATTTTGTCTGGCTGGAAAAGGCAAATTCACATAGACAAAGAATAATAGAGATTACAGAGGTTATTAGGAAGGGACAGCTACTGAATGAATATAGAATTTCTATTTTGAGATGATAATAAAGTTCTGAAAATGGACAGTGATGAGTGCATGGCACTGCTGAATACTTAAAATGGAAAAATTTTATACTGTGCATATTTTACCACACTAAAAATTTAAAACTAACTTAGAATACTTTATTATTATTTATTTTTAATCACAGAGCTCAGTTGCAAATCATTAATTTAATGTTTTTTTCTTAGATGCCCAAAACATCTTTGCTAAATTCTTACAATGCTGTCTGAAGTGCTGTTTCTGGTGTTTAGAAAACATGGTGAAGTTTTTAAACAGGAATGCCTACATTATGGTAAGCAGATTTTTAAAAAAAAATCATGTCTACCTTGCTCTTTCTAAAGTGCTTTTATACCCTATAATTGAGCTTATCATGTTCATTTGAGGATCTGTGAAGCCATCACATGACAAGAGTGTGCTTTCCTATTTGAGATATTATGCCTTTTCTGAGGATATAAATATAATTTGTGCTGGGTGCCGGTGGCTCACATCTGTAATCCTAGCTACTCAGGAGATTCAGATCTGAGGATCGCAGTTCAAAGCCAGCCCAGGCAGGAAAGTCTGTGAGCCTCTTATCTCCAATTAACCACTAGAAAACTGAAAGTGGTGCCATGACTCAAGTGGTAGAGTGCTTGCCTTGAACTGAAGAGCCCAGGCCCAGATTTCAAGCCCCATGACTGACAGTAATAATAATAATAATTTGCATTGACAATTTAAAAATGTGCTGGATGGAAGATGGTTATGTATGTCTTTGACAGTTTAGTAAAGATGAAAGCTCACTTAATCCATATTTTACTTAGCAGAAATTATCTTCCTAACTCAGGGATTTACATAATTTCAAGGGAAGATATTTGATCCTTTCTATGAATCTTGTATTAAAATATGTTGGCATTAGAAATGTTTGGTTAAACTTATTCACATTTCCTTTGGGAATCTGGAGACTTCTAAAGAGGTTTTTAAAAAATAGGGGATCCAGAAATATAATTCTTTTAACATTTAGAAGCTATATCACTTTCTTTACATCATAATGAGATACAGTGATTCAAATATTAAAATATCACAGAGATTCAAATATTCCTTAATTTATCTACAGTGATAGTATTGCTTTCTGAGCCTTTTAATCAGTAAACCAAGTATAGTAAAGGTCTTGAATTTCTTTAAGAATAAGTTTTGATGTGGGAAGAAAACAATATTTTTTATTTTTTGTCAGTCGTGGGGCCTGAACTCTGGGCCTGGGCGCTGTCCCTCAGCTCTTCAGCTCAAGGCTAGCACTCTACCACTTGAACCACAGTGCCACTTCTGGCTTTTTCTGCTTATGTGGTGCTGAGGAATCGAACCCAGGGCCTCATGCATGCTAGGCAAGCACGCTACCACTGAGCCAACTTCTCAGACCCAAGAAAACAATATTTAACTCATTCAGCAACATTTGCTAGCCAAAGCATTTCAAAGACAAAAGCTCAACCTAAGCCTTGAGAAGAAGCCCTACTTCTCTTTGAGGCTGCTGATCCACTGGAGTTCAGGGACATACCACAGGTGAAAAGCACTTTAGCGTTAGTGATTCTTGAAGTTGAGAAGAGTTGAGGACACACAGCTTACAGGCCTTCCACAAACATCAATGTTGGAAAGAGGATGGGATATTAGTATGAATTGCAAGAATAATTTTTTTTTGTTTTTGCTGAATTGCCCTTTGATCTTGTCATTGTATGTTACTGACACAAGATTACCAATTGTCTGCCTCAGATTGCACTGTATGGCAAAAACTTCTGCAGGTCAGCAAGAGATGCTTTCAATCTGCTGATGAGAAACATTTTAAAGTAAGTAATGAGGGTGAAGACTGAAATAGACAATTTGGTGAACCTCAAACATGACATATTTTATATATTGCCATTAATAATATTATATTTTAACTTGATCTGTTTAAACATTCTCTCACATCATTCTTTTTCATATTTTAGAATTGCTCCTATCAGCTGCCTAGATTTTTACACCTATTGGCATTTATTCACTTGCATTATCCTGTCTGTTTAAACATTCCCTAGATAAATCACATTTATCCTCTTTGGAGGATATTCGCCACTCCCCTTCCCCAACTTGGTGGAAACTGAGTCGATAAAATCAAAGAGAGCATCCTCAGGATGTAGCATGTCTGCTAGCCTTGAAGCAGAAGATAGAGGCCAGTACTTCCATGTGTGAAACCTAGCAGCCCTATGATGCCATCTTCTGTCTACTTCATTCAAAATGTCAGAACTTCATACATGGATTTGACTTACATTTTTCTCATTTACCAACTGCCAAACAAAATGCCAGTTAAAACACATCAAAATGAATTCATGAGGAGTTTAATACATTTCAAGCAGCAACTGTATTTTAAACACAAAACTACACTTTCCTTTTTTTCTCTAATACTCAGAGTTGCAGTTACAGATGAAGTTACACACTTTGTATTACTCCTGGGGAAAATTCTAGTTTCTGGCTTTATAGGTAAGTAGATATTCAAAGTAAGATTAATAAAAAAATGAAACTATACTTGGAAAATTTACTAAAGAAAGCTATGTGTCTCTGCAAATGCATAATGGACATGCTCTGCCTTTCCCATTTAGGACTTTTGGCCTTCTTGCTCTTCACAGAAAGGTTGCCAATGGTCGACTATGAACCAACATCATTAAATTACTACTGGATCCCTTTGCTGGTAAGAGCTGACCTCTTAGTCAATTGGGAGTGCTGTAACAAAAATGTCATAGAGTGGGCAGCTTGAATAATAGGAATTTATTCCTCTTGGTCTTCAAAGCTGGGAATTTCAAGCTAAAAGTCCTGATTGTTCAGTTCTGGGTGAGGGTCTCTTCGTGCTTCACAGAGGGTTCCCTGGCTATTTCTTCTAGTGGAGAGAAGAATCATCTTCTTACAAGGAGAATGCTTCTCCTTGTAAGGTCACTATTCCCTCCATTAAGACATAACCCTGGTGACATTCAAATTCAATCACTTTGGGGATTAAGATTTCAGTGTAAGATTTTAGGGTGATGCAATTCATTCCATAGAAGTTGGGTATTGATTCTGATTCATCAGAGAGGAAACTCTTTTTTTAAAAAAGGCAAACAGAAAATAGGAAAAATAATCATGACAGCTAATGTCATTGGTCTTACTTTGTGCCAACCCTCATCCTCCTGCTTTAGGGACTAGGTTGCTTGGAAACAACTGCTCAGATAGAGGATTGCATGCAGGTTTATTAGCAATCCTTCTCTGAATTATATCTATAAGGAAGTGAGGAGTGCAGCAGGAAAAACTGATCCATACTATAGTTAGAGCTGAGGCTTCAGACATAATTATAGGAAGTTCTGGTAAAGGAATGGGCCTTTGTAAATCGTACTATGCAGCTGTTAACCATGATCTGACCTCCAGATGGTGATTTAACCTTCAGTGACACTGTTCCTTGCAGGGAGGGCATTTCCTAATCAGGGAAGCAGCTGAATCATCAGCAGCCCACATTCTCTACCACTGTGGATGGAGTGGACCGGGCAGCTGGAGGAGCCTTGCAGTATCTATTACAATATATTAGCTCTCTTAATCTATAAAACAAATGCTGCTATCACTCTTCTATTCTCCATTGCCAATTTACAAAAGCAAACACAGGGAAACCTAAGTCACTGTTGAATGCCTGAGCGATAATGCAAACCCAGGCACTATGTGTTCTTAACCCCTTTCCCTTCACCACCTTGCTATGGATAGAATTAAGGGGAGATGCGTTTTGTATGCATTGAGAAACATCAGTAAGAAATGGGTATGTAATTTAGAATATTTTCTAAATGTTCTAATCTCAGGTCAAAGCTCACAAAAGCATGATCATTCAGTATTTTGATCTGTATATTGAGATCTTTCCCCAACAGAGTCTTTCAAAGCTTTCTGATTATGGCTTTTGTTTATAGCTTGTGGACAGTCAATGATGTGTTGATTCTCTTTATCTATTTGCAGACTGTCATTGTTGGATCATACCTAATTGCTCATGGGTTCTTCAGTGTCTATGCAATGTGTGTTGAAACAATTTTTATCTGCTTCTGTAAGTATTCAGTATGCACATTTCCCCCTTCCTGTGGATAATTGAAAGATGAGAAAGATGAGTCCCATGTGCTTAACTAGCTTGTGGATATTCTATCACCTGGCTGCAATCACAACTAAGAGGAAACATTACTTAGTTGACATACTTTACTCTTTAACTGCTAACAAATGAGCCAGAGAGAAGGAGACAAATAATTCATGATCTCTCTTATAGGTGACAGCTAAAGACTCAAACTCAGATAGTGAAGCAGAGCAGACAAACAGTAGCCAGGATCAGAGGGGTAACTAAAATGAGGAGATGTTTGTCAAATGGCACAAACTCCAATTACAAGAACAAGTCTTGACAGCTAATGCAGAGAATAGTATAAACAATAGCACTTTAAAATTTGATGTGAAAGACCTTGAGTGTTTGTACCACACACAACAAATATCAACTATGGAAAGGGATTATATGCTAATTAACTGACTAGTAATCATCCCACAATTAAATGCATATTAAAATTTTATATAGCTTAAGTACAATTTTGTCAATTTTACTTCAATAAATCTCGGGAAAATTGATATCTCTATAAAGCTGTAAGTAAAACAGAAAATCACACACACACACACACACACACACACACACACACAACCAAAAAATCTAACAGCTGAAAGAATAGAGTTTGCCAAGTAAAAAGGAGTCACCTACTGCAGTAAACCTCAGGCTATATTGCATAGGGCTAGCAAGAAATTATGCCTTTTTCTTTCTTTTCATTTATTTTTTATTATGAAGGCTTGAATCCTGGGCCTTTTGCTTTCTCTTGGCTTTTTCCCTCAAGGCTGGTGCTCTCACTTGGGCCACACTTCTAGTTCTGACTTTTTACTGGTTCATGGGAGGTAAAGATTCTAGTGGTTTGTCTGCCAGAGTGGGCTGTGAACCATGAGTCTCAAATCTCAGTCTCTTGAGTAGATAAGATTACAAATGTAAGCTACAAGCTTGGCTTTTTTTTTTTGAGTTCTTAATGTTTTCAGATGCATAAGGATGGTGGACTTCTATAGTGCTATGTGAACAGAACTGAGGATGTAACTGGAATTCTTTAGCTAGGTTTTAGAAATTCTTTAAAGAAATCCCTTACAGATTCTGATAAAGCCAAGCTGACAATAGTTTCAAAGCCACATAGGGCTAGTTGATGCTACATAACATGATGACAGATGGGTAAGATTCAGAGAGGAATCTGCCTAGGAAGTAGCTGGATCAATTTAGACACTTAAGAGTTTAAACTCTTCGTTAGAAAAGCTTTCATCACTGACCTAGATGCTGCTGCTGTGGGGCATTCCCAGATAGATGTTTTAGCACCTCATCTAAAATACTCTGTAGTATCTGTTAGGACTTTAATCTGACCTTTTCCTTCAGTGACATCTCTTCAGCAGGTTAAAAAAAAAAACCCAGCCTATTATACTGCTCTGCACCCTGAGAGTTTATTTTTTTGGTACCTGGTTTTTCAGAGAAGCAAGAAAACAAATCTTATTTTCTGGGCTGTGAGTGTGGCTCAAGTAGCAGAGTACCTGCCTAGCAAGTACCTGCATTAAAGCCCTAGTAGTGTCCCGTATGTCCCCCAAAATATCATTTTCTTTCAATAACTGGACAAAAAAATCAAAGAAATGGAACTGGAATATATTTTTCCTGAATTTTTGGTGTTTTATTTTTGTTTTTGAAGCAAACACATGTTTAGAAAATAGAATGTGACTAAATCTCTATGTGGTTATGGGTGGACATAGTTGCCTAGAACCAGTGAGTCCCTAGGACCCGTGAAGGTGAGCTCTGGATTGCTGGTGTACTACTTTCACTTCCAACGTTCCTCGTGGAAGCAACATGAAGAGATCTCTCTGTGATGCTCCTTACTCTTATAGCTGAGAAATTTGTTTTTCAAAATTTAAGAAAACATCCCAAACCTAATAGCTTCCAGGCTTTGAGAACATAAACTAATGCCATCCATTTCAGTGGCAGTGGAGTTTTGATTTGGCCCACGAGAAATGTTTTTCACCCAACTTCTCGAAAATCAGGTATAATATCCTTTTTATTCCCCACTGCATGTTCAGATGTATGTTCAAAGACTTTTCTATGATAATAATAAAAAGCAAGGGAAGCCACATGGCATTTCCCTTCCCTCTCCAGCTTCTGTGATTAGCAACATTGTACATTGCAGAACATTCATCAGTAAGATTCTAAACCACATTCTGAGTGTGGAGCCAGAATTTTTGACTTTTTATAGACTTTTTATACTGATTATCTTGATTCTCAGAAAACTTGACTTTTTTTAAAAAAAACCAGCCAACCGTAAATGTTTTATTTATAGAAATACTTTTTTAACATTATAAGTCAATGCATCTCCCATAATAGTTATAGGTAATTATTAAGATGAACAAAACCACACTTCCTATCAAATATCTCAGGGGTAATGATGATACATACATATGTGTAATCTATAGCAAAAACAGCAACAACAAAAATAGATGTTTCATATTTGTCATGTTCTCCCCTTAACTTTTTATTTTGTATATGAGAAAGTCACTATGAGATCTAATGTAAAAGTAAGCTTAAATCAGTAACCCATTTATTCCTAATAGAGTATAGATACTGCCTGCTATGAATCATGTGTCCTTGATAGAAATTTAATTTCAGGCAAAGATTTTGTTTCCCAGTATGGTTTTGTATGGTTTTTCCCTACCTGGAGGCTTGGTGAATATTAGTCTAAACACAGCAAGATCAAGTCACATATTGCAGAAAGTCAGACAATACTGGCATTTGCTTTTGAGTATCATCTGAGGCAGCCCACGAGGGTAGAGGGCAGGACACTATGTATTAAAAGTAGGATGAGGGCTGGACTAGATGTCAATGGGGAGGGTCTTCCTCTCTTCCTCATTCCCTCAGCCTTCAGCATTGTTACATCCCTGTGCCTCAGCTTCTTCCCCTGTGTGGACTACCACTGAATGTTAACTTTGACCAGTATAGTGTGTACACCTATAACCCAGCACTTAGGAGGTTGAAACAGGAAGATTGCAAGTTGGAGGCCTGCTTGGACTATATATCATCAGCATCAACAACAAATACAACAAACACAAGGAGAATTCAAGGCCTGAGATTCAGTTAATGTACACTTCTCACAGAATCAGTACATTTGTTATTCAACTCCATCACTATGAGCGTGCTAAGTTTATACTTTTCTGAAATAAGCAGTGATAGGATTTAATGTTAACATTTTGGTGTGGAACTATGGAAGGTCTTTAAGGAAACCTCATTGGGAGTGGGAGGAGCCAGTGGAAAGGATGAAAAAGGATGGTGCTTCCTGCAAGAAGTTGGGGCATCTTGCCTTGTCCAGCATTAACAACTTAACTGCACTTATCTTCTCTTTGGTTTCTAACGCTGATTTCTCTGATTCTTTTCCCCTGTTCGACTCTGCCATTCATAAAAATGCATTCAATTGTTCTGTGGCTGTTTGCTGCTTTTGCACTGCTGCATATACAGGTGAAGATCTGGAAAGAAATGACGGATCAGCAGAAAAACCTTACTTCATAACCCCTAACCTTCACGGGATTCTGACCAAGAAGCAACCAGTTCCCCAGAAGCAGAAAGTTTCTCGGAAGTAGTACAGTTCCAAACAGTGCCATGGCCTAAGCTGAAGTTCTGTAAATCAGATCCATTGTCATTTAAAAATGTTGCTTTCGAGGAATGTGAACTTTCTGTGCTATTTCTAAAGAATTAGCACAGAACTGAGGTGTGCCAACTGGGGCATTGGGTTTGCATGGCAATGGCTTGGGTGAGGTCGTAATACTTTATCGAGTGGTTCCCACTCTATAAGTGTTCCCACTCTGCAAAGTGTTCATGCAGAACATTTTTTAAAACCTAGAGCTGAAAGTGTTTAATAACTTTTATAAGTCAGTGTGCTGTTTCCATTGGGGCACTTTGATAGCCTATCTTTTTATAAGTGTATATTTGTAAAGGATATTCAGGCAATTTTTGAAGACACTACAAATGTGTAATCAACTAGCCATAAAATATTGAGTTATAGTTAACCAGCATATGGTACTAACATTGTAAATATGGTGCTATGGTTATATTTATACTGTTCAAGCTGGTGGACAACTCTCTAAACTGTGATTGAACTTTATTAATGGCTCTCTTGAAAGAATATTTCAGTGAGCCAATTGAGTCCATAACAGACATCCAGATATTAATGACACACAGGGTCTGCAGAGGGCAGCACTAGTAAAAGTTACCGTGGAACGTTCATAGTCCATTTTGCTCTAGTGTCATGATATTTATACTACAGTCAAATCTGAGCTCTGGAATCTATCATTTCCAATAATAGGAATGTCTGGCCACCATGGGAATGTTCTAACTTTGCCACACAGAGCCTGAAGTTTCATACCTACCATATAGAAGATGAGTTATGAAGCTGTTTTAGAAGTGTGATTTTTTTTTCTTTTTTGGAACATACCTGTTTCTAAATTAAATTATGAGATTTTTGTTCTACAAAAGAAATTAAATTAGTTCACCTATTAGTGAGGAAAGAGAAAAGAGAAGTACGACACTTCAGCTTTGTCCCTAAGGAAACTGATTGTTGTCCCTCCATGACATACCTCATCTGGTGTTCGAGGAGTATCCTTTAGGCTAGGGACTCCTTTCTTCCAGTGCTTAAGAGGAAAGTTGTCACCACACTCCCCTGTTATAGGCCAGAGTAACATGCTGGGTTTTGTCAGCCTAAAATCTTACATGGCAGAACAAAGCTTGGAGCTGTCTTTTATATTTCTTGCCTCTGCAGCCCTTGTGTGCAGATGTGTGTGGCAATATGGATTAACTGAATCAGTTACCATTCTTTTGGCTTTTACTCTAAGCTTGAATATACTATTGCTTTAACCTGTTGATCTAAATAGGATCCACACATCTAAGAAGAGAGTCAGAAATGTATTATTGTGTTAAAAAGCAATTGTAAATATAAAATTTATTCAACTGTCCTGAAGTGTAGGAACTTATATGCAGACTGAGTTCATGGCAGCTTCATAGCAAGAAAAGGGATGATTTTCAAAATAATTGGTTTTAATAATGACTACCAACTTGTTCTTAACTTACTTTGTAGAGGTTACTATAGTCAAAAGTACCACTGGATTCATGTCTTGGCAAAAAGCTTTCTCCATTCTCATTCTCCTTGAAGCATAATGCAGGGAAGAGTGATGTTACATTTTTCTAGATTTTTATTAGAAAGGGTCTCAACAAAAGTTCAGTAGTCTCTAACTGTGAAGTTGTTATAAATATAGATGCTCATGTCCTACCCAAGAAATTCTGATGTATTATGTTTTGATGTGGACTACTGTGTGAATTACTAGAAAATTCTCTACTTGATTCTCAGACACATAAAAGTTGGGAAATCAGTTGAATAAAATATCAATCAGCATGTGAAAAATCAGTTGCCTGTTTAAGTATATTATGGCTTATTGTCAGAAAAAAATAGTTTCCATTTACCACTTCTGCATGTAATTAAAATCATAGTCAAAATAATAATTGCTTTTGAGCAGAAATTTTGTAGCCATTTTCTTATACAGCAATTAAACTAATAACTGAAAAAAGAGCAATATTCTCGAAACTTGACAGTTGAAGGATTTGACACACTGTATGTGACAGCTTTTTAAAAATGTTTTCAAGAGTGTTGATGACAAAACAAAGGCAATGTTGAACAAATATAGTAATTCATAAAGTAAATTTGGCAAAAGAAGGTAAAAGTTATTTCCTCCGTCAAGCTGTTGAGAGACAGGCAATGCTGGCAGAATCTTACCTGCTACCCAGAGTGAGGTTATTTCACTGACATAATAACAAGGGCTGATTATTTTCTCATAACTATGTTTACAGTAAAGTAGATGCCAAATTGTGCTGCTTGTTTAAATTTTTTTTTTAAAAAAGCGCTATTTGGAATTGTTGTAACGCAAGTATGCAGCAGATGGCGATATTACTTCTCTTACAGTTTTGCTTTGACTGATTCTGTGCCATCCTTCCTCCTAGTGGAAGATATAGAAAGAAATGAAGGTTCTGATGAGAAACCCTATTTTGTGACTCCATCACTAATGAAGATCATGTTGGAGCAAGAGCCAAAATATTACAAGTAGAAGAGCACACTGGTCATCCTCCAGTGGTGTGTTACCTGTTTCTCATCTGCTGGGTCTGTGCAACAGTTATTTCCTAAGCACTTTGGGTTTGGCAACACTATGCGTGACCTTGTTGGCTTGCATTTTGCATGTTTTGTACCAAAGCTTACACTGTAATGTGAAGCCATCTGAAGTTACAAAGGAATTGTTAATAACATGGAACATTTTTATACTAAGATCTTTTGTTTTGTAATTCATTTTTAAATAGAGTGGCTTGGATGTTTTGAAAATACTACTTAGTATGTTTAATATTCTTTTAAAAATTAAATTGAAAAAGGTATGTTATTTGAATTGATAGCTCCTACTATATTTTTTAAGAGTACAAATAAAAGATTACTTCTGCAGGGAAAAATTGGTAAACAAAGTGAACATTTTTTAAAGCTTTCCCCACTCCTGTTTGACAATAAACCAATAAAAAAAAAAAAAGACTGGCCCACTCCAATCTTTGCTGTCTCTAAGTATAGAGTGTTTCCTGTTCAATAATTGCCAACCATCCAGCCTTTACTACTTTATCCAATGACAAAGTGCCTTATTGGCTGTTTAATACTACCCAGCTCTTGTGGGCAAGTTTACAGCATTGTTTTAAAAAAATTAAAACCTGTGATGTTTAGTGATTATAAAACAAGTCTACTTGTGTTTGTTTTTCCTCTTGCTCACTGGCTGAAAACCGTCAATCATTTCCCTGTTTGATATGCTCACTTTTAGATATTAGTGCTATTCTCACCGTTGTGTGGCATGAGCATTTTCCTTGTGCCTCTGGCAAATGTGTACTTAGATGCAAACAAAACAAAACAACAACAAAGATCCTGAAATGACATATGTGGGTTTCTTTTTAAAATGTAATCTTTTTTATAATAGTTCTTTAGAAGTAGAGTGGGAGTAAGACTTCATTTCTCAGTGTTTTACATATAGTAGCAAGGAAAACTTCTAGGAATTACAAAGGGAAACTTACCCCTGGAAGGTGCTCAGAGATCTGTCATGCACCGAACAGCTCCATTCACAAAGAGATGCTTATTTTCATCAGCCTGATCTCTGTATGTCATTCCATTTTCTAACTTTTTTATATAAAGTAATGGGTTTACTAACAATGTTTACTTTTTATTGTGCCAATAGAAATGGGAACCATTTCTAATTGAGTTTTAAATCATTTTACTAGTACTACTAACTTTAATTTCAATTTGATACTTTTGATTCAATTTGCTACTCAGTCTGTAATAGCATTCACCAGGAAAATGCCAATCACATAATAACTGGCAAAAGATCTGAGGATTGATCAACAGCAAGTTACTATCGCTTTATCAATTCTCACATTTGTTTAAACATGACATTAGATGCTCTTATTTAAAAAAAACTCATGCAAGAGTATAATGTTCTAAAATCTATTAGTATGCTTCTGCTATGCAGAATTAATAGGAACAGATTGTACAGATATCTTTGATAACTAATATGTTTAATATTTAATAAAAGTTGCTGTCATTTTTTGTTTTAAAATCTTTGTTTTGTTTTTTTTCTTCCAATAAAGATTTAGATAAGAAATACTTGTCTGCCTTTTTATTTTATTTAAGCTAGGAAAAGAGAAAAGCTTTTGTATGTAATATCCATCATGCTACAACATTTGTTTTTACTTTTTTTTATTGTGAAAACGCCGTACAGAGGGGTTACAATTACATGGGCAAGATAATGAGTATGTTCCTTATCAGGCATTGTTGCCTCCTCCTTTGTCAACATTTGTTTTTAAATTTCATGTTTCTCTGACTATGCATTGGTTGATCAAATAGCTGAAATTGAAATAAAATACAAATAATTATGTTAAATGTTAAATGAGTAAAGAATGGACTTTAAAAAAAATCAAACAATTGTCTGAATTAGTTAATTGCTCCTAGTTTTAATTTGCCAGATGTCTGCTATTCCCTCACTTGGTTGTTCCAGTTTTCCTAAGGAGAAAATATCATTTTTAAGACAAATTTAGAGAACTTAAAATGTGTGAGTGATGCCTGACTATAGATTTCCAAAGCAGGATTGAACATATCTATCTCTGGTCTATCTTAAACTAGCAGAGCATCTTTTTCTTTTGTCTTAGGTTGAGTAGTTTAAACCTTAATTTTGCATTTAAGTTTAGTGGATTTCTTTCAAAGATGTAAACAACAAGCTTCTTTTTATTTTCTGTTTTCCTTTAAAATCCAGCACAAGGGTTGCTAATATAGGTAATGGCTATTTTCTTATTAGTGAAATAATATAGTTTGGTGTTTTTCAAAAGAAATCTAAATGCTTTTGATCCTAAAACGCCTACATTTTGCCAGGCACTAATGGTTCATGACTGTAATCCTAAGTACTAAGGAGGCTGAAATCTATGGATAATGATTTGAAGTTAGCTGGGAGAGGGAAGTCTGTGAGACTTTTATGTCCAGTTAGCTAAGCAAAAGCTGCAAGTGGAGATATAGCTTAAGGGGAAGAGTACCAGTCTTCAGCCAGGCCTTGAGTTCAAGCCCCAATACTGGCACCCACAAAAAAGTTCCTACTTTTAGACAATAAATCACTGATTTTAATAAATTTTATGAAATTAGATTCTGACTGAATTGGTTTTTCTATATGCTTAAGAGCTTTAAAAGTATATGCATAGCCATACAGTAAAATATCACTGTGAAAAGTTCTATGTGATCACAAGCATAATGTGACTACTATTTAAGCTGATGCTGGAAGACAGATTCTGGGCAACAATTCCTTGTTTCCCTTTAGTGTATAGCTGAGCAGCACTATTCCAACGTATGCTCTTTCACTTTTACAAGTTGTACCTCAGGAAATTGCTCCTAAATTCTAACCGGGCATAGTAATTATCTGCAGTATTATCTGGTTCTGGATTGAGGAACATGCTTTATAAATCAGTCTTTCTTGGCATGAGAGAGGAGCACAAAATTGAACGAAAATCATTATTACAGACCATAGTGTATAAAATGGTACCTTAACATTTTTTCCAGTTTCTTGAAATATTGTCCAACAGATAGTTGTAAATGTATGTATTTTTAAAATATAACCTTAGGATTACAAGAACACAATATTACAAGTCATTAATGAAAATAAGTATCAATATAATAGATGCCCACTCCATTAAAAATCAACAGCTTTTTTGTTTTATATTTAATTATACAGGCCTAATAAATAGAGTTGCAATAAGCTTGTCATATTCAAATATTTATTTTTGACAGGTTATAAGTAGTAAGAAACATTTCAAAAACAAACATTTTAAGCACATGGCTTAGGCAGTGAGGCCCTCAGTCAGCCTGCATTATTGTTGGTTGTGTTTAAGTCATTGTGTGACTCATTGTGTCCATAGTTTTTTCTTCTTGTGAAAATATTCCTCCCGAAGAACAAATGGGTACCCCAAGAAGCAACATAAAATTATTGTGCTCAATTTTATTGATACAATTAAAAATGTACATTTGATGAAAGGCAGCATGTATTTAGAAAAAGTTAGGAGGGGGGCTGGGAAGATGGCTCAGTGGTAGAGCGCTTGCCTTGCATGCTCGAGGCCCTGGGTTCGATTCCTCAGCACCACATAAGCAGAAAGAAAAAAGCCGGAAGTGGCGCTGTGGCTCAAGTGGTAGAGTGCTAGCCTTGAGCTGAAGAGCTGAGGGACAGCGCCCAGGCCCAGAGTTCAGGCCCCATGACTGGACCAAAAATAAATAAATAAAAAAAAAAGAAAGAAAAAGTTAGGAGGCATCATAGGAGAAATGAGCATTGGCAATATTCTAATAAAAAGTGGAAATAAGGTCTAGATTTTGGTGAGAAGTATTCATGTGCAGACCAATAATTTCTTGGCAGTAATGTAGACTATGCCATGTGGTTTCAAGTTATGGATGCTCAGATTTATTATACACATAGTATAGGTTATTCTGAGTAGATGTGTAGTATTAAGTGGTGTGTGTACTGAGCACTTACAGTTTTGCCTTAGTGGTGGTCTCCTTGAAACTATATATTTCTGAATACCTAGTGCTTACTGTATGTATTATCTATACATATCAGAAATAACTTACTTTTTCAAAGATACTTTTCACATAACATTTTCAATATTGGAACTAAAAATGAATAGTTTCTTGGAAACTAGCTGAGTTACTTCTGATCACTAGTGAATCTGTCATCATCTAGAGAATAAAGCAAACTCACTTAAACTAAATGTGGGTGCATTAATTCATGGTCATGTATAATACCATCTGTGTGTGTGTGTCTATGTACATGTGTGTGTGTGCATATGTTGGGGGGGACACCCGTGCATGCACCAGTACTGGGGATTAAATTCAAGATCATTGACTCTTGCTTGGCTTTTGAAATCAAGGCTGGTACTCTACTATTTAAATCATAGCTTCATTTTTGGTTTTTGGTGGTAAATTGGAATCTCATGAACTTTTCTTTCTGGGTTGGCTTTGAACCAGGATCCTCAAATCTCAGCCTCCCAGACAGCCAGAATTGCAGGTATGAGCTACCCAGGATATAGTATCATCTTCTACAAGGCTTAGCTATCAGGATAAAGTTTGATTTACAACCAACAGATTCTCTTAAATTTTCCATGGCCAAAGGAAAGCGCATTCTTCCTAGTTTATAACTCTCCAATTGCTTGGTAGTCAGAACCATATAGAAGTTGGTGGTTTCTTCTGTAATGGTTTCTATTCTGGGAGAGTGGATCTATCATGCAATACATTTCAACCAGTTGAATAGATCTTATTTGAGGTTACATTCTATTTTCCCCAAAACAAGTCTTTTAAGGATACAGGTGGACCCGATGCAACTATGAGAAGTACAAGTTGTCATGTCAAAAACGAACTTTACAACTTTGGTGTGTGGGGGGGGGGGGTTGGGGGGGGGGGTAGGGGAAGCTGGGAAGGGATGTGAAGGGTAAACAAAGGAGGAGGCTGCAATGCTTGATAAGAAATGTACTCATTATCTTGCCTATGTAATTGTAACCCCTC